TGTCCCCCGGCCTGTCCTCCCATCCTGTCCCCCTGGCCTGTCCTCCCAGCCTGTCCGGGCTCCTCACCCACCATCCCCCATGGACACGCCGACTTCCTTAAGGAGCCCTAGAGCCGCAGGGCCAGATGGCTGACCCTCAGCCCAGGGCGCTTGGGCCTGGTGACTCAGGTCCGAGAACTCCATAGACCCCAATGGCCTATTTCTGACGTTCATCAGGCGTCAGACTTTGGCCAAATCCCCATGTCCCCAAACCTGTGAAATGGCAGAGCAGTCTTCCCTGCCGTCCCTCCCCAGGGCCACTGCAGGCGGGAGTGTGGGAGGTCAAGGGGCGGAGCCCTCAGCACCCCAGGCCCCTCTCCCCTGGGTGGGCTGGCGGGTGCTCCCCCCCGCAGCCGGTGACCCAGGGTGGCGGCCCCAGGTGTTCTTCCAGGAGCTGCTGCGGGAGGCGCAGGGCAGCAAGGCCTTCCCTGAGGACGTGGTCCGGCTCATCTTCTCCAACATCTCCTCCATCCACCAGTTCCACGCCCGCTTCTTCCTCCCCGAGCTGCAGCGGCGCCTAGAGGACTGGTGAGGCCGCCAAGCCTGGCCTGTGCCCGCTGTGTGGCCATGTGGGCCCTCCCCGGGGCGAGGGAGGGACAGGCACAGGTGTGTGCAGGAAGGGGCGGCGGGGCTCACTGACCTTGGCCTTGGACTTCACATCTGGAACTGATCCAACCTTGGAATCAGCGGCCACTCGATGGCCACATTGTGGTCACACGAGAAACCCTCTTTGCTTTCAGAGGTAACCACCATTTCATGGAAAAAGCTCACTTGCTTTATATATTTTGCCAAAGAAATGCCATGATGTCCAAGTGTCCTTGGAAGTCTTAGAAAAAGGAGGTCACCAACTGGTGGTCAATACATAGGGGCCTTGTTATAGATATGTGTTTTACTTTGTAATCACCATTAAAGTAAATATTTTAGGGGCTGGGGCTCAGAAGTAGAGCGGTCGCCTAGTACGTCAAGGCCTTGGGTTCGATCCTCAGCACCACATAAAAATAGACAAATAAAGGTATTGTGTCCAACTACAGCTAAAAAAAAAAAAGAACTATAAGCTGGGAGCAGTGATATATATGACTGTAACCCCAGTAGCTTTGGAGGCTGAGGCAGGAGGATCTTGAGTTCAAAGCCAGCCTCAGCAATTTAGCAAGACCTAAGCAACTCAGTGAGGCCCTGTCTCTAAATAAAATACGAAATAGCGCTCAGTGGTTAAGTGCCCCTGAGTTCAATCGCTGGTACAAAGAGACAGAGAGACAGAGAGAGAGAGAGAGAGAGAGAGAGAGAGAGAGAGAGAGAGCAAGCTGGTGTGGTGGTGTACACCTATAATCTCAGTGACCTAGGAGGCTGAGGCAGGAGGATTGCAAGTTCCAGCCTGGGCAATTTAGCAAGACTCTGTCTCACAAGAAAAAATAAAAAGGGACATGGATGTAGCTCAGAGGTAGAGGGTCCCTGAGTTCAATCCTTAGTATCCCCCACACACTCACACACACACACACACATAAGAGAGGGAGAGAGAGAGCAACCCTATGAGTCCACCTACCATCATTCCCATTTGTTTCAGAGTAGAAATTGAGGCACAGAGAAGCCATGTGATTGGCCCAAGGACAGGGGAAGTGACTGATGGGGTGGAAACGCAGCTGAGGCAGGCCAGCTCCTGGGTTGGCTTCTTGCTGTCCCTGGGTTGAATGACCCCCAGGCCCTGCCTTGGGAGCATGGTGGATACCTTCTTACCCCTTGAGCCTCCTGTTCTCATCTCTAGGATGGGCTAAAGGCTCTTTCCACCCGCAGGGTTGTGAGAGTGGAAAGGGCTAAGGTGCGGGAGGGCCCTGGTCATGCTCCACGGCCAACCATGGAGGAGTTGCCCAGCCCTGTGGCAGGCCCAGCGCTGCGGCAGGTGGGGGGCCAGGGGACAGGAGCGCCTGCCCTGGGGGCGCCTGGGGGACCAGCCCGCCCACACCGTGGGAGCCTCCATCTGTTCAGGGAGCGGGCCTCGCCGCGCCCAACTGGAGTCCACAGAGGAGGTGGCCAGGCTGAGGGCCACCCCTGGGTGTCCTTCTCAGGACGGCCACGCCCCGCATCGGGGACGTGATCCAGAAACTGGCCCCGTTCCTGAAGATGTACAGCGAGTACGTCAAGAACTTTGGGCGAGCCGCAGAGCTGCTGGCCACCTGGACCGACAAGTCCCCGCCCTTCCAGGAGGTCATCGCCCGCATCCAGGTGAGGCGGGAGGGGAGCCTGGCTGGGGTTGGGGCGTCTCCCGGCTCCCGCCCGCCCCACGCCAGTCCACCTGTCCTCCGCAGAGCAGCGAGGCCTCGGGCAGCCTGACCCTGCAGCACCACATGCTGGAACCGGTGCAGAGGGTTCCCCGCTACGAGCTGCTGCTCAAGGAGTACGTCCAGAAGCTGCCGGCGCAGGCCCCCGACCGCGCGGACGCCCAGAGTGAGGAGCCAGGGCTGGGGGGGGGGCACCTGTTTACTGAGCACCTACAATAGGACTGTAGGATCGTCACCATCAGTAACCGTGGTTGAGACCTTATGGACATTATCCGTACCGCGAGCCATTGTGTGTCAAAAAAGGTCCCTGAGGCCCAGAGAGTTGAAGTGACTTGCTCAAAGTCACACAGCCCGAAAGGAGGAGAGCTGCAGGTGCCAGACCCTGTGCTTCTCCCACTGTTCCGGCTTTGTGCAGGGAACAGGGAGTCACCAAAGCCAAACTGCGCTGCCTTCGGGTCCCTTCTAGTCTCCCGACCCCCGATGGCCTGCGCCATCCAGACACCACCTGTGCACACGCCCAGGGGCAGTGCTGGAGGTCCCGAGGGCCTCCCAGTCCGGCCTCCAGCCCCTAGCCCCAGCTGTCAGGGGATGACCCTGGCCTGCCTCCTCTCCAGAAGCCCTGGACATGATCTTCTCTGCGGCTCAGCACTCCAATGCGGCCATCGCCGAGATGGTAAGCGCGACCCTGGGGCGAGCGCGTGGAGGACCCCTGGGCCTGCCCTGCCTCCTGTGGCTCGATCCACGCGGCCCCGACGCCTGCCCACTGCCAGCCGCCCGCCCGTCCGGCTCCACCAAGCAGGACCCTGCTGGCCTGGCTGAGGTGCCCCTCCCCTAGGAGCGGCTGCAGGACCTGTGGGAGGTGTACCAGCGCCTGGGCCTCGACGACGACATCGTGGACCCCTCCAACCACCTGCTCCGCGAGGGCCCGGTCCTCAAGATCTCCTTCCGCCGCAGCGACCCCATGGAGCGCTACCTTTTCTTGGTAGGGGCTGCTGCGAGCCTCCCACCCTGGGGAGGGGAGCTCCCGGTTCCTCTGGCCCAGGTGGCCTCTGTCTGGCCACTACCTGGCACTGCAGGGGGTCAGGGAAGACCCCGTGTTTTGTACTGTGCTTTGATGCCTGGTGACTTAGGAAGTCGGGAACTACCTCTGGAATTTCTATCTACACTCTTCCCAGAGATGCCCCAGAAAACAAAAGAGCTGTTCTAGGACAGGTACAGCAGGAAGGCATTAGGTTAGCTACCAGAAAGAACTGCCTTGTTCACTCTGAAGAAGCCAGGGGCTCCCCTGAGATCTGGCAAGGTGGTCCCACCTCACTCCCCCAAGGCCCTGGACCCTGATCCCCCTTGAGGACAGCCTAGTAGGTTTTGAAGTTGGCTTTGTTCCCTCGAGGCCCACAGGTAAGGTGACCTTTAGCACCACCTCAGTGGGGCAGGGGCTAGGCAGCCCCCTTCCTTCTCCTCTGTGATGTCCAGGGAGTTAGGCCAGAGAGTGACCAGAGAAGAGTGGGTTGGTGGCGCCGCCCACCCCGGGAAGCCCCGCCCACCCCGGGAAGCCCCGCCCATGCACTCGCCCCGCCCCTGCGCTCACCCGGCCCCTGTCCCCGCAGTTCAACAACATGCTGCTCTACTGCGTGCCCAGGGTCATCCAGGTGGGCGCCCAGTTCCAAGTTAGGACCCGCATCGACGTGGCCGGGATGAAGGTGAGAGGCTCCGCCGGAAGGTGGGGGTGACCCAGGTCCTGGGCGGCGAGGGAGCTGGTGGTCCTCAGCTCGCGGGGCTGGAGGGGCTGGAGGGAGAGCTCACCCGCGGGGCCAGCCTCCTGCTGGGGCCCTTCCTGGGCCCCAGGGGTGGGGCATGGTCCACAGGCTTCAAGGAGTGACGTGCCCTCCCGGCCCCTGGTGGCATGGTGGCTGCAGGTTCCGAGTCAGCAGGTCTGAGCAGGGCCCGGCAGTGCTGGGGAGTGAGCCAGGGCCTCGTGCATGCTAGGCAAGGATGCCACCCCTGGGCTGCGGCTCCAGCCACCGTCCCAGCCCTTTAAAACAGTTTTTCAAATATAAGCCAGGCTCAGTGTCGCACACCAGTAATCCCAGCCACCTGGGAAGCTGAAGCAGGAGGATTCCAAGTTTGAGGCCAGCCTGAGCAACTTAGTGAGACCTTGTCTCAAAATAAAAAATAATAAAGGGCTGGGGATGTAGCTCAGAGGTAGAGCCCAGGCCTCCCATGCAGGAAGCCCTGGGTTCAAGTCCTAGCGCTGCCCAAAATAACGATAATGCTGCTGCTGATGTTAATTGCATTCTCTAACAATCAGATAATACATATTTCAAAATCAAACAATATAAAAATATATACAATGAGCAGTCTCCTCCCTGCCCTGTCCCCTTGTTCCCCCTCCTGAAGTCACCTTGGCTTCTCTTTGCACATAACATGCTATTACCATGGCCATGGCCCTGCATCAGTAGTATTTTTGGAGAGTGTCGCCCTTGGCACATTAGAGCTGCCTCCTCTTTTTATGCGGCTGCATAGTATTCCACTATGGGTGGGCTGCAATTTACTCAACCAGTGATCTACTCAGGACTGTGTAGGGTGTCAGCTGCAGGAAATAACCTTTCAAAGTCTGCCTGAGTGTGAGTGCATCTACTGTGGATCCCGCTGAGAAAGATAAGGAAACCAAGACCCTGTTTAAGTGTCTTGCTTGAGAGTCGCACGGCAAATCCAGGTTTGGACGACCTGGATTCAAAGCCCCAAGCGTCCCTGGGTCTGGAGCCTGTGGTCTAATCCCCACGCTGAAGCTTCCCAAGTGAGGCTTCTGCCCAGAGCCATGAAGTCTGTGGCCAGATCTCAGACGTGGACGAGGAGGTGGCAGCCATCCGTCCTGACCATGGTGCTCCCTGCCGGCTTCTGAGCCCACTGTGTCCTGAAGCCAGGGCTGGACCTGCAGGGGCCTGGCCTCCCCGCACCCTTCCATGTCCCCACCCCCCCACCCCGTCCCGAGCTGCAGGTGTGGTCCAGTCTGGAGCCTGGGCCCTGAGACAGCTGGAGACCCCCTGCTCCATGCTAGATTGTCTGCAGTGGGCACAGCCTGCAGGTCTGATGGCCCGCGGGGTCCTGGGCACCTCCTGGGGGTTCACAGCCCATCCCCACCCTGAGCTGACTGAGGGAGGAGTGTGTCCTCACCCCCAGGGATCTAACTTTGAATGTCCCAGAGGCCGGGTGTGTTCAGGGGTGTCTCTGTGGGATCCTCCGTGGATGGCATCTTGTCACAGACTCAGGCACAGAGAAAGAGACAGAGATTGACAGAAAGGTCAAGAAACAGGCACCAACACAGACATAAAGAGAAAATACGTAGACGTGGGGTGCAGCTTGGTGGTAGAGTGCGTGTTTGGCGTGTGCAAGGTCCTGGGGTCGATCCCCAGCACCAGAAAGAAAATATGTCTGGTGAGCTTTTCTCCCTCTAGTGGCCACACAGCACCCTCTCCTGGATGGTACTGGTATGGCAGGTGCAGAGCTGTCCGCAGCCCCATGTCTATGCTGGACCCTGTTCTGAGTCTGAGGTTTAGAAGAAGCAGTCTGGTCTTGAACCATCAAGATGGCTCTCCCTGACCTATTACACTGGCCTCCTTCTGGTGTGTCACTGACTCCACAGTCTCACCTGGTCTGAATGTTTTGCCATCCTGCCCAGGGCCAGTCTGCCAAGAAGGAAGGACTATGGGTCCAGCCCCTCAGGGACTCCATGTAGAGCTGTGCAGGCTGTGCACTGCACAAGGATACCTCATCTGAGAGGTGCCATCTGCAGCAGACTGCATATTGGCCGACTGTGACAGTATGGAGATGGCATATTTATAGTGAGAAGTGTCCGGCAGATGGCAGTCACATGTCTTGTTCCAACAAAATCTGGATGTTATGCCAGTTTGCCAACAGATGTCAGCAAGGCATTTGGAGGAAGGGTGTCCTTTCACCAATGAGGACAAAGGACCGTGTGGACAGGCGGGGCTCCGCAGTGACCACACCCGGGGCTGGGTGGGGCTGGGTGCGGCAGAGGCTCTGTGAGCATCTCGGGGGACCCCGATACCCAGGTCAGGAGCCCCCAGCTCCCCTTCTTTTGGGGGGTGTGACAGGGGACCTGACGCAGGGCCACTGGCCACACCCCCAGCCTGTTTGGTCCTTGATGGAGCGCAGGCTGCTGGGTGGCTTCCCGACTCTCTTCCCCCCACCTCGCCTCTCACCGCCTGGCGGCTCCCCGGGGCCCAGGGTGGCGAGTCCAAACCCCCGCAGCCCCAGCAGAGGGGACACTGGCTCTGGGGCCGAGGCCAGGCCTGCTCAGGGTCAGTGCTGTCAGGGAGGCGGTGGCCCCCATCACCTGTGAAGTCCCGGCCACTGCCAGACACGGCGGAGGGCTCAAGGGTCTGGTGGCATCAGGCCCCAGTTTCCCAGGCGCAGGCTCGGGCTCCGGTGTGTCCAGGTTCTTTGTGACCCTCTCCCCGGGGCCCGGGAGGTCTGCGCTGCCAGGACCCAGGTCTGGGGTGGAGAGGTGCTCTCCTACCTGAGCTGTGGTCCCCCAAAACCTGAGCTGCGACCCTGACTTTGCCATTTCGTGCTGTGTGACCTCAGGCAGGTCTCTGTGTCCTCCTGGTTGAGGATGGCCATGGCTGCCTTCCAGAGCGGCCGCACAGGTCATTTTCTTTCTGTCTTTTATTTTTTGTACTGGGGATACCCAGGGGCACTTTTTTTTTTTTTTTTTTTTGAGACAGGGTCTCACAGAGTTGCTTAGGCCCTCGCTAAATCGCTGAGGCTGGTTTCGCACTCGTGATCCTCCTGCCTCAGCCTCCTGAGCCTCTGGGATCACAGGCGTGGGCCACGGCCTCCTTCAGCTTTTTATTATGGACATTTTTAAACCAAGAAAATGGTGCCCTAACCCTCACACACCCGCCTGGTTTGGGGACGCAGTTTCCATTTGGGGTGAAGCTTTGTGGGGACTGTCACCCGCACTCGACACTGGGCCACCGGAGCTCGGACTCCCGCAGCTTCAAGGCCCCTTGGCTTAGAGGGGGCCCGGCGGCAGGTGCCTTCTGCTGGTTGGGCAGCACTAAGGAGGTGGGGGACGAGTCCCCAGCCCTGTCCCTCCCTCCAATGGGGACTGCTTCTTGGGCACAGCCCACCTCCCTCCTCTCTGCCCGTGCTGCCGCCGAGGGGACAGAGAGTGACCGACAGAGAGTGACCGGTCCCCCTGCCTGCAGGTGCGGGAGCTGCCCGACGCCGAGTTCCCCCACTGCTTCCTGGTGTCGGGGAAGCAGCGCACCCTGGAGCTGCAGGCGCGGTAGGAGCCGCTGGGGGGCAGGCGGGGGGCCCGGCCGCGCGCCTCGGACACCCATGTGCACCTTCCTTCTGAGCAGGTCCCAGGAGGAAATGGCTTCCTGGATCCAGGTATGGGAACGCTCTGGGGCTCCTAGGACTCTGACCCTAGAACCCGGGTGTGCCCAGCGGCTCCTGGTCTGTCTGTGGAGTTTGGAGTCAGCCCTGGGTTCAAATCCTGCTGCCTCCCTCTGCCTTGCTGGAAATCCTGGGGGAGTCCCTTGACGTCTCTGGGCCTCCGTGTTCACATCTGTACTCGGGCTAGTTTCTCCTTCCTGGGGCCAGCCCCTGTGTGCCTGGGGGCCAGGGCCTGGTGGGCTGGTTCTCTGCTGGGTCTGTGGGTTGGGGGTGGCTCCTCAGTGACACCCCCTCTCCGCCCTCCGCCCCAGGCCTGCCAAGCCGCCATCGACCAAATTGAGAAGCGGAATGAGACCTTCAAGGCTGCGGTGCAGGGCCCCGAGGGCGACGCCCAGGAGCAGGTCGGTGAAACCTGTGCTGCCCCCTCCTCCCACAGCTCCCTCTCTGCTCCACCCAGGTGGCTCCAAGGGACAGGGAGTGTCACCCACCAGGAGTGATTTGAAGGGACCAGGGGAAGTCCCAACCTCTCCCCAGTCAGCGACTCCGAGACCAAGTTTCCCACTAGCAAAAACGGCCTGGGGGGGGGGCGGCCCCCTGCCGTGTCCCAGGGAAGGGGACAGAGGCTGCAGCTCTGGCTGCCGGCCAGGTGCAGTTTGGGATTTGAAATTACCTGAGCCCATGGGACCGGGGAGGCAAGGGAGGTGGGTCAGGGAGACTGTGTGGGACTTGATTTCCTCTATGAGCTTGCTGGGTGACTTTGCTGAGTTACTGGGCCTCTCTGGGCCTCAGTGTTCTCACTTGTGAAATAAGAAGAGTAGTGAGTGACCCGTCACGAAGGCTTGATGGGTTCAGTCAGTTTCAAGCAGAAGCCCCGGGGACACCCGGCGCGCAGACCTCCTCCAGCGCCGCTGCCCAGCCCCCCCTTGCCCCACAGGGGCAGTCTGAGGAGCTGGGCCTCCGAGCACCGCAGTGGGTGCGGGACAAGATGGTGACCATGTGCATGCGCTGCCAGGAGCCCTTCAACGCCCTGACCCGCCGGCGCCACCACTGCAGGGCCTGTGGCTACGTGAGTGCCCCGCCAGCGCCCCCGTCCCGCCGTCCAGCAGGGCTCCTCCCTGGGCCGGCTGCTGCCCAGCGCCCCAGCTTGGCGCAGGTGGCCTCGGCAGCGCTCAGCTGGGCAGCCCCACTTCACAGATGGGAAACGAAGCTCCCGTTAGTAAAAGGACCTGCCCGATGTCCCGGAGCTGACCCTGTCCTCCCACCTGCCGTCTGTCCACCGTTTCCCAAGGGTCGGTGCTCAGCTGGGCTCAGGAGCCAGGGTGCCCCCCCCCACACACCTCTTGCTTTGGGCCTGGTGCACCTGCTGCTCTGCGGGAGCCCGTCCCTGTCACACCATGTCCCCTCCATCTACTCTGCAGGCAGAGAAGCCCAGGGCACCCTCCGTCTTTAACAACCTCTGGGGCACAGGAGGAGCCCAGCAGGACAGGTTGGGGCTAGTCGGGGAGGTGTCCCCAAAATACACGGGACTGCAATCAGGACAGAGGTCAGTTTCTAGGGCCAAGGACACACCTGCACCAGAAGGCAAGCCCTGAGTCACATGCGCCCGCCAAACAGGAGGGGCCTGGGGACTCTGCTGTTCTGTAAGTGAAAGTCTCACCCATCTACACTGGCACCTCTGTAAGGAGTCCCTAAACACAGGGAAGAGGCCCCCAGGGTGGCCCACACCTGGAATCCCAGCGGCTCAGGAGGCTGAGGCAGGAGGATCAGGGTTCACAGCCAGCCTCAGCAATTTAGTGAGGCCCTAAGCAGCTGAGCGAGACCAGGGCAGGGAATGAGGCTCAGTGGTTGAGCGCCCTGGCTTTAATGCCTAGTACCACAGGGGGAAAAAAAAGAGAGAGAGCTCCAATCTGCCTGTAGTTTTGAAGAATTGCAAAGTTAGAAGTTGGCGAAGCAGAAAAATATTTACTAGTTATAGTAAATAATTTAAATCTCTCAACACAAATAAAATACTCCCAGGCCAGCCGGAGCCTCTGTGTGGGGCCCTGGCTGCGGCGGCCTCTCGTGCCCCAGCACATCTCTGCGCCCTGGGAGTCGGTGACTCATCCTTTCGGTGGCCCAGGTGCCTGGTTTCTGTCTCCCCTGCTGCCAGGCGGGAGGCTTGCCAGGGAGGGACGCTCAGCACTGCCCTGGGCGCACACCCTCCTCCCGGGCCCTTCCTCCCGCCCCTGCTCCTGCACCCCCTTCCTGGCTGCCCATCTTGCTGGGTGCTGTTCCTGGGTCTCCCTATGCCCGGCTCCTGGGTCTCCCCAGGCTGATCCATGGCAGCCTCTGGACTCAGTGATGGACTCGGGGTGGGGTGGGGGTGCTCCATCTCTTCCCAGGTAAAACAACTGGCCCATCATTTTCCTATCAGAACATTCTGGACTCTGGGATGGAGTAAACATTTGCATGAGTCCCAAAGCAAACTGAGGGATTTTGAAGACACACCCTGATGGTGGAGGGTCTGTGCTGCCACTTTGCTGTGTGGCCCTCAGCAAGTCATTGCCCCCTCTGGGCTGGCCTGCTGTCACCCTCACACGAGGACAAGAGCCCTGGCCCTTCACTTGGAGCACTTTGATAAGTGAATGGGTTGAGGCCCCCAGAGTCCCGCCCCCCATGAAAGGGGGGAAGTAGGGGCCCTAGCAGAGGGGCCAGAGCCTGGGCTGGCCCGCCCTGAAGCTCAGCCAGCCTGGGGGACCAGCTCTGCTCTGCCCCTGCAGCCCGCTGGCTCTCCTGTCCCCGCGCTGACGATGCCGTGTCCCCAGGTGGTGTGCGCGCGGTGCTCCGACTACAAGGCCGAGCTCCAGTACGACGGCAACCGGCCCAGCAGGGTCTGCCTGCACTGCTTCACCTTCCTCACGGGGAGCGTGCTGCCCGAGGACAGGGACAGGAGGCGGGGCATCCTGGAGGTGGGGCCTCCTGCCCCCTGACCTTGGGTCCCTGCTGGGCGGGTCCTGGGTGCTGAGGGGCACCTCCCCCAGCCGGGCAGCGGGGCCGGGCACCACACAGAAGCGGCTCTGAGTCTCTGCCCACGTCCCGAGGCCTGCCCCACGGTGCTCGCAGGTGTCTCAGACACCACTGGACAGATGGGGACCCTGAGGCTCCAGGACAGGCAGAGCCTGAGCGCTGTCCACCCCGAGGCCCTGAGAGATGGCAGGGTCCACCAGCTGGAAGGGACTTCAGGGACCAGCTGGGCCTCTCCCGTGGAGACCCAGGTCCAGAGGGTGACCTGCCCCACACTTTTGTCGCCGGTTTTTTTTTTTGTACGTTCTGTCCGCTGCCTCAGGGCCTCACCGAGCCCCTCCCCTCCCCCACAGGGGCCCCCTATGGGGTCCCGGCTGTTCCACAAATACCATGTCACCCAGCCCGGATCCCGGCCGCACCCCCAAAGGCCAGGTGGACGCCACGTCCCTAGGAGATGAGAAGGAGCTGTCCGCTCCCAGGTTCAAGTTGGTCCTTCCCACGGACATGGCTCCCGCCCAATCCCCCTCTCCCTCCAGGCCTGGTCCCTGCCCAGGCCCCGACTCTGTTCCTTGGGGCATCCCACCAGGGGGGAAGCCTTCCCAGCCCCGGTCCCCCGTGGGCGCACACGCCTCGGGTCAGGTCCCGCCGGGGCTCCATGCAGCTCAGCCACTGGCCAGACTGGTGACTTAGGCACATGGAGTGACATTTCTGAGTCCCCCGGGGCAAGTGACCCCTCCTTGCTTCAAAGGTTACACAGGGAGCCGCCCAGCCCCGGGCCTGCCTGTGGGTCCAGGACACTGTGCCCCTGTCCTCTCTGCTTCCAGAAAGGCGCCCCGCCCGGGCCCGGCCAGAGCCTGATGTGCAGCTTCCTGCAGCTCCTCGGGGACAAGTGGGGCAGGAGCGGCCCCCGGGGCTGGTGTGTCATCCCCCGCCACGACCCCCTCGTGCTCTACGTCTACGGGGCTCCTCAGGTAAGGCCACCTCCCGCTGCCCGGCTCTGGCCTCCCCACTGTGAGGGCAGGGTTGGCCCCTACGTCAGATGGACACCGAGGCCCAGAGTCCAATCTGAGCTGGACCCAGACTGCAGCTCGCGGGTCCGTCCCCCTCTGAGGGCCAGGTCTCTATGGGGGACCCCCATGGGGTCGGAGGGGCAGTGTGTGCTCTGGGTGGGTGGCAGCCCACCTCTCCCTCCTCCCCCAGGACACGCGAGCCCACACCTCCATCCCCCTGCTGGGCTACCAGGTGACCCCTGGGCCCCAGGGGGACCCCAGGGCCTTCCAGCTGCAACAGTCGGGCCAGCTCTACGCCTTCAAGGCCGAGACCGAGGAGCTAAAGGGCCGCTGGGTGAGGGCCGTGGAACAGGCAGCCGGGGGCTGCAGCCCCCGAGTGACTGATGACGGGGACCTGTCTGACTGAGCCACTGCCGGCCACACGTCCTGTTCCAACATGCAGGAGAGATGGGTCCAGCCGGGGGACGTGGTGCACATCTGTAATCCCAGAGGCTCGGAGGCTGAGGCAGGAGGATGGAGTTCAAGGCCAGCCTCAGCCATTTAGTGGGCCCCAAGCAACTCAGCAAGACCCTGTCTCTAAATAAAAATGTGAAAAGGGGGCTGGGGTGTGGCTCAGTGGTCAAGTGCCCGTGGGTTCAATACCCCTTAACCAAAAAAAAAAAAAAAAAAAAAAAGTGAGAGAAAAAGAAGAAAATATGGGTCCATTCCTTTGAGAAGGGGGAACCAACTGTCCCAATTCGCCAGGGCAGAAGGGGTCCCTGGGCCATGGGACATTCAGTGCTAAAACTGGGAAAGTCCAGGTAATCCAGAGTTGTTGGTGCTCTTGGTGCAGCTCTCAAGCTGGATTGCTTTACCAAAGTACTGGTGAGCCTGGCGTGGTGGCCCACACCTGCAATCCCAGCCACTCGGGAGGCTGAGGCAGGAGGATCACAAGTTCAAGGCCAGCCTCAGCAATTTAGTGAGATCCTCAGTAACTTAGGGAGACCCCCGTGTATCAAACTTAAAAATAAAAGGGGCTGGGGATGTGGCTCAGTGGTCAAATGCCCCTGGGCTCAATCCCCAGTGCCAAAATGAAAATAAAACTAAAAATACTGGTGAATATATCCACATGTTGTTAATTTTAAGATTAAAAAATATCAACCAGTACGGGGACTCTCTGTATTTTATGATAAATTTTGTTGAGCATCTAAAACTTCTCTAAAATGTAGAGTCTACTTAAAAGGAAAATCAACTTAAAACAAATTCTAAGAAAAAAAAAAATCAACCAGGAGTACGCCCTGGTGCACACCCCAAGATTCCAGCACCTCAAGAGGTTGAGGCAGGAATATCACAAGTTCGAGGCCAGCCTGAAGCCTGGGCAACTTAGTGACACCCTGTTTCAAAAAAAAAAAAGAGCTGGGGATGTGGCTCAGTGGTACAGTGCCCCTGGGTTCAGTCCCCAGTACAGGGAAAAAAAAATTAAAAATAAAGATTATCAATGTCTGTGCCCACCACCCAAGATTTTTATTGACTTGACCTGAGATGTGGGAGGCCTGGGTATTTTTTTAGGAGTACCCACAGGAGTCTAGGGTGCAGCCTGGGGTACGTGGGGGAAGATAGCAAGCTAACTACCAAGGAGCAGCAGGATGGTAGCAATACTGATAAGCATCTAGAGGGCCTAGCGCTGGGCTGGGTGTTCTATGTGGATTATCTCCTTTTATCATCAAGGGATTGCAGTCCCCATTTTTCCCTTGAGGATACTGGCCCAGAGGGGGTTAGTGACTGGCTTAAGGTCACACAGCTCAGGAATGCCAGAGTCAGGGGACTAAAGTCAGAGATTTTTCCATCAGATAGCAGAACAGTAAGGTCGGGAGAGCAGGGAGGAGAGTGGGAGAGGGAAAGGAGGGAGAAAAAGCCAAGAAAAGGGAGGGAGAGAGGGAAAGGCTGAAGAAAGAAGTTGGTATCTATATCTGTGCCCCTCCATGAGCCACTGGAGGAGGAAGCTGCTTTTCCACAGGAGACCACCAGGGGGTGGCAGTGGTCAGCAGTGGCCTGGGCCCCTCAGCTCTTCCATCTTGCTGGGTTCTGCCCTTGATGGGAAGGGCGTGGGGAGGAATGGACAAGTCACAGGTGTTTGACCCACCCTGGGCCAGCCGTCGGCCTCTGGCCGGAGGACACTTCCCGTTTGGAGGGTGTGTATTTTTCCCTGCAGGTGGTTTTAAAAAGCCCAACAAGCCAGGTGCTGTGGGACACACCAGTGATCCCAGTGGCTCCCGAGGCAGGGGGGTCACAAGTTCAAGGCCAGGCTGGGCCATTGAGCAGGACCCAGTCTCAATAGGTTAAGAGCTGGGGACGTGACTCAGCGGAAGAGCACCGTGGGCTCCTTCCCAGGACAAGAGCTCAGTGGCCGGCGCTCGGGGCCAGCCGCGGCCCCCTTCACTGGTTCACCCAGCAATGCCAAGCTTCTTGCAGGAACCACACGCAGTTCCTGCACCGTTCAAGCGTCCCTGCCCTCATGAAGGTCACGTTCTAGGGAAGGGCACGGGCAACAAGACAGAAGTGAAATAGAGAGCACGCAGCGTGAGAAGTGCTCCCCTAAGGGGCCCAACCAGCCTGTACTTTCAAACTTTAAAACTGAAACTCTTCAGTTCCAGGAAGCCCCTCCCTTTCCAGGCAAACGGACAGCTGCTCACCCCAAAGAAAGAGCAAAGATCGTGTGTATGCATGTGTGCGTGTGCGCATGCGTGTGTGCGTGTGTGTGTGTGTGTGTGTGTGTGTGTGTGTGCGCGCGCGTGTGCGCATGCGTGTGTGCGTGTGTGTATATTTATTTTTTCATTGCTTTTATTTTTTAAATACACCACAGTGGAATGCATCATACATACAGAGCACAATTTTTCATATCTCTGAATGTAAAGTATGTTCACACCAATTCATGTTCTCATCCATGTACTTTGGATGATGATGTCCATCCATGCCACCATCCTTGCTAACCCGCTTGTGTGTGTATTTAAAAGGAAAATGAAGGAAGGCCTTAAGAAGTCAATGTTTAGCCGGGCACAGCGGCCCAGGCCTGTAATCCCAGCAGCTCGGGAGGCTGAGGCAGGAGGATCTGAGTTCAAAGCCAGCCTCAGCAACTTAGGGAGGCCCTAAGCAACTCAGTGAGCCCCATCTCTAAATAAAATACAAAATAGGGCTGGGGCTGGGGCTCAGGGGTCGAGTGCCCCTGAGTTCAACCCTGGTACCCACCCCCCCCCAAAAAAAAGAATCTGGGTCCTCCTACCTCAGCCTCCCAGGGAGTGGGATTATAGGAGTGCACCACCACTGTGCCCGGCTTCAGGGGGACATATCTGGTGGCCCTGATGGACCTCGAGTCAGCTGGGAGAGAACCTTACCCCCACACCCTCCCCACTGCCTTCCTCCTGGGACACCTTTTCTCAGCCTCCAGAATCCTGGGGCTCTGGGAACAGGCTTCGTGCCTTCATTCATCCGCCTCTTCCTGTGCTCGCTGGGCTGCCGTGTTGTTTACTATGCACTAAGTGCCAGTCACTTCCTCCCCAAACAGACTTTTTTTTATGCTGGGGAGTGGGGCATGTGGCATACTAGGCAGGCGCCCCACCTCTGAGCCACACCCCCACCTCCCAAAACAGTGTTTTGACATCCGTTCAAGTGTCCCCATGGGTAGATGAACAAAGTCGTCCAGCAAGGTTAAGTAACTGGCCCGAGGTCACCCAGCCTGTAAGTCATGACCTCCGTTCACACCTGGGCCCCGCTGATTCCCCCAGCTGGCACTAGGGGGCAGTGTCTCCCAGTGGTTGGGGGTCCAGGCCACCACCAGCCCTGGGCAGACCCCACCCAGCCGGGCCTCTGAGTGGCTGCGGGGTCTTAGAAGCTCCATGGCCCTTGCTGGGTTTCTTCCCTAAGGGCTGGGGGAGGAGGGTGTCAACTGAATGAATAAGTGTCCAGCACGCCACAGCGGTGGCCTGTGGTAACTGTCCCAAGTCACTGTGGTGACCATCTGCTCTCGGGGCTGTGCGGCTGCCTCTGGTCACACACTGCGGGCATTTACCGAGTATCTAGAAACACAAAGTTGAATGAGTGGTGGTCCCTGCTCTTGGGGACCTCCGAGCCTAGGCCTCTAGAATGCCCTGGAAAGGTGAGGGGTGGGGGGACACGAGGGACTGAACCCGGGGGCGCTCCACCCCGCGCCCCATGCCCAGCCCTCTTCATTCTTTACGCTGACACAGGGTCTGGCTCCATTGCCCAGGCGGCCCTTGAACCTGAGATCCTCCTGCCTCGGCCCCTGGAGTGCGGGGACTTTAGGTGTGATGTGCGCCCAGCTCCCTGGAAAGCTTTTGGGAAAAAATCCCAGGATCCAGGCTGCACCCGTGCGTGTCACCTGAGAACCCCCGGGATGGGCAAGTCACAGCGCACCAGAGACTCCGCCGGGGCAGTTGGATCAGCGGGGACAGGCCAGCTCCTGAGCTTTGGTCCCTAAATTTTTCTAGAGGGTTTAGTCTGCATGGGAAGTTCAGGGAGGGGGAGGGACGGAGGCCCTGAGCTTGGGGCCTGTTGGGCGAGTGGAGGGTTCGGGTTCTAGCAGAGCTCTCAAGGTTTGGGAAAAGGGCACAGCCACTAGCCAGCACCGCCATCCCGCCGTAAGCCCCCCACACTGCCCTGTGCGGCCCTCCCAAGCCTACCCCTTGCCTCTTGTCAACCTCTTCTGACCTATGATTTGGGCCTGTCCAGTGTCACACAAATGGGATCCTGGTGGCTGGAGCCTGGCTTCTTTTGCTCCCCATTGTGTCCTGAGACTCCGCCATGACGCGGCCTCTACCTGGACTCACCGCCTCCCACGGCTGAGGAGTCCTCTCCCAGGGGGGGGGGACAGCGCCGCCTGCCTCTCTACTCGCCACTGAAGGTCACTGGGTTCCTGCCTGTGTCAGCTTTTCGTCTCTGTGACAAAATGCCCGAGAAAGCAGCTCCAAGCGGGCAAGGTTTGTTTCGGCGGCCAGTTGCAGAAGTTCTGATCCGTGTCCACGGTCTCCAGGGCTTTGGGGCCCGAGATGAAGTAGCAGGAGCACGTGGTGACGGAGAAGCCGAGAAGGAGAGACAGAGAGAATGAAAGTCAGGGATCAGGACAAGATGGACCCTTCCAGGGCCCGCCCCCAGCGACCTGCTTCCTGGAAGTCGTCCCCATCTCCTAGGGTTGCCAGCAGTCGCCTGCCAAGAAGACCAGCAACAGGGACCCGGGGCTGAAGCCATCGGTGAGGCCACAGTCCTCAGGAGCCAGTGGCCTCCCCTCTGAGCCCCTCCACAGTCTTTGGAGGTGGTTCAGATCCACACCCGGACACTCGCCCTGTGGGGATCCTGAGAGACGCTGCTTCGAGCTAGAAACATCCTTGTCCAGGTTTTTGTGGAGCACAGACTCTCTTCTCCAGGGTGAATGTCTAGAATGGGCACTGGGCTGCGTGGGGAGCTCCTGATGAACCACCAAAACCACCAACCTGGAGGTTCCGCACTGGTGACGCCATTTGCATTCCCACCCTTGATGCATGAGTGTCCCTGCCCACAGTGTTTGATGTAGCCAGGGATGGGGGGGGTGTTTTTATTTATT